TTGACTTTCAGTCGGAGTTAAATCTCTTTTTTGGCTCATTTTATCTGTAAAAGAAAATCTGCTTAATAATTATGTACACCTGAATATGACATTTTTCACTTCCAGCCTTCACGAATAATTATATATCAATTATAAATGATTAAATACAAGATTAATAGTAGTTATTAAGATTGATGTCGTTTGGAATTGGTAAAATGTGCTTAAAAACTTGCATAATAATTATGCATGAACTGTATTTTACCTCTTCTGCTGTCGAGGTAATGCAAGGAATGTTGTGATTGGTTGTCAATGCAGCCAATCAGAATTTAGCAGCCTCGTCTCTGATTGGCTGGAATTATTGCATATTGTAATGCAGGGTTGTGTTGAGCAAGCGAGCCGTTGGCATTTAGAGAGCATCTGGCATCAGGTGAGTAAGCTAGTGAAACGTTGCACTTGCAAAGAGAAGGTCTGCACAAATCCAAAAACTTATTTTAAATGCAAAATTGATTTTCGTGCACTCGAAATACTTTCTTCTTTACGAGACATTTTCTCCACAAAACTCAGTTCGCGCGTGTGCAAAACGTACTTTTGCTCGCTCAAAATATGATCTTTCGCATGCAGAATTGTGGCAGAGATGTAGTCCCATAGGAGCTCCGGTTGGATAATTCATGGTTTGCGGCATATTTTAGCCTAGATAGTGACAGAGGTGTGAGGAATCATTTTTACTAGTTGCTAAACGTGTTCAGGCTACTATTGTACTTAACAAATATCACGTTTTGTTTTCAGGTGAAAAAATAAATAATTTGCTATAGCCAAATCGTGTGACATCTGAAAACTATGGTTTCTACAGCTGTTGAGCACATTGACATCTGAAAACTGTGGTTCTACAGCTCATGGGGAAATAAAAATGACAACCACATTAAAAAACATCTTTATTATAGAAGAAGATACAAAATGAACATGAAATAGTAAATCAGTTAAATTGTTCATTAAACCCTATCAATGCCCAGTTTTCATACATGAAGCAAACATGTGCTTAAGTATACAAATGTAAATTAGACTGTAATGGGCCCACTTGTCTCTCTTTTTTTCTACTTGTTATGTGTGTATGGCTGTCATTGTTACTGCTTCTCTGTGCTTGCAACCACAAATGGCTATATATTTATATATATACTGTACAGTATTTGTGTGTATACATGATTGATTATTCATGTTTTGACATATACTGGATATATACTCTATGTACACAGTGTCAATATATGTGAGTGAGTCTTATGTTCAAAGTGTGCATAGCTATTTGCTTGCTTTGCTAATTCTAAGCATGCGTGTCAGTTTGTCTGAAAGTGACGTGTAAGCACTATTACGAGTCTCAAGCTACATTTATTGTTCTTCTGTATCTTGGTGGTGCAAGCAAGTGTGTTTCAATGTGGTGATTGTGTGTTTGCAGCCGGTGATTCCGAACATTCCAGCTTGACAGCCGACTCCATGCTGATAGGTGAGGTAGAGGATGGGAGGACACCTGAGCCCTTGTTCTCCAGTGAGGAAGAGGATGAAGGCAAAGATACCACAATGTATTTCTGAAGAGGATGTGAGCCACTGACAGCACCCGTGTTTCCAGACTCCAGTTTGACGAGTGGCTGTAAAGATGTGGGGGTGCTGGGGACTGTACTTGTGACAGGATATCCAGACTGGGAGGAGCTGAGAGTGATTACCTGAAAGAAGAGTTTGTCTACAGTTACAACAGACATATAGATCAAAAACTCACTGCCACAATGCTGTTATTTTGGGTGGTTTCAGAGCATTGCTTTGCCATTTAAGGTGTTCTGGGTTCTTGCTTAAAATGAGTTTAACTATAATGAAAAATACAAACTAAAAAAAAAAATAGTTTAAAGTATATAGTTAAAAATAGGCTTTCAATTTTTTCCCTTTAATTATTTAGGTAAAGTTTATTTACATTGTTTTCTTTTGATTTTTGAGGCAAAAAAAGTCCTGACCATTTCTTTATAAGATTTGCTCAAAAACAGGACTTTGAACCGGTTCAGTGAATGAAAACAAAAACGGTTTAAAACAAAAACTTTTATCAGGAACAAACAAAAACTAAATCAAGTTTAATCATTCTGAATAGAAACACTTATTTGAAAATTTCATTAACCAGTTAACGTTTTTTTAATCATTATTTTTTATAATTTTATTTTGTTAGTTTTATAATTTAATTTGGCAGTTTAATTTGTTCACACTCAGTAGATAATACCAATAATAAGACCATCTCTGAGATCATAGGCAAGTCATCTTTACCAGCCTCTGCCAAGACAAGCTTTATATCTTAAATAACAAAATATTTAATTTATTTTACATTCTAAATATTTAATATAAATATTAAATATTTAGAATAAGCCTTAAGCTAAAACATGTTAAAACATGTTTAGAAACATGAAGTTTAGTGACATGAAGCAAAAGCTCTCTATTTTGTTGAGCTTCTGTAGTAATGTGAGCCACCTAATTCTTACAACGTAAAGAAACTCCTGGGTGTGTATTGTATATAATTCATAAATTATATTGTATAGAATTTGTATAGAATTTACATGCATCCCTGATATCCCTAATATTTAAAGCTGCTATAAATATTGAAATATTGGTATTAAAATTGGTATTTGGGTATCAAAATGGCTTTTGAATGCACAATCACACACACTCTGTGTATAAGGATCGCACTCTATGTATATAGGGTGTGTATAGTACCGCACAATTTAGAAGATAAGGTATTTGTCAATTATGCTCTGGATCTGTTACGCACCTAATCCTCCGCCATGGTCGTGTCAGTCATTTCTCCTTACTCTCATCACAAGATAAGTGAAATATGCTGCGACTCTAAAGCTTATGCTGTATGGAGCACTTTCAGTTTGTAACTGTAGCATCTGTTGTCCAATTGAACTAAATAGTTTTTATTTCTAGAAAAAAGCCAAATGACAATGAGGGTGGTGGGCAAGAAATGTAATTCGTGCATGGCCGAACACTGTAACACTGACTACCGCAGCAAGCCTAATGCAAGTAAAATTCTGTTGTTTTTATGATGTTATGCATTAAATGTTAAAGCTTAATTACCATGTTTTATGTCATTTTTGAGTGAAAATGTGTGCAGGTCTGTATATACATTTTTATAAAGTATAGGCTGAATTTAAATTTTTTTATAAGTATTTTTTTCTAATGAAACTGTTATCAGAACCATCATATTTACGAAGGAACGCAAGAACAGAAATGTTAAATACTGATTCTGCTTGAAGTGAACCGATTCATAATTTTTTATTTATTTATTTATTTTTTGCTTTTTCAGCACTGCTAAAATACCATGACACAAACTCATTTAAAACTTACCTGCTGAGTGGATGCAGCTCCTGCACTTGTTGCCATGACTATATATTTGGTTGCTGGGGGTGAAGGCTGGGTGGGTGTTCCAGGGAGAGTGGACATGAGGGTAAGTGAACTGGGTACTTTAATAATGCTGGGTGTGCGTGAAACACTTGACGCTGACAATCCACTCTGAGACATTGACAGAGTTGGGCGTGGCTGCAAAGAGACAGAGTGAGAATTTAGGTTTGATTTGAACCATGTTACCAAGGCATTTTTTTAAAGAAGATAACTACTGGTTAGGATTCAGATCAACTTGACAAACGATTTATTTCAGATTTGCTCACCTGTGTGATAGTGAGTGTGGTTCTGTTAACAGTTTGGGCCTGAAAAGCAGCCTGTGCACGGGCCTTCACCACATGTGAACAGAGCATGGTGCCAAGATAACCATAATCTGCCTTGTATTGATCCACGACATCTGGGAGCGGTCTAGTTTTAGCAACCACACTTGCACAGTGTTTCTAAACACAGAACGAGAGAGAATCATGTTGTCAATAAATCATGCACATTACCAGCTAAGAACAAAAAAGTAGGAAAACCCTATTTAATATTTTCCTCATGAAATACAACTATATAATAATAATAATAATAATAATATTAATAATAATAATAATAATAATATTAATAATAATAATAATAATAATATTAATAATAATAATAATAATAATAATAATAATAATAATAATAAGCAGAGCTCTAGACCACAATTATTTGAAAATGTGAGTTAAAATTTGACGTGGCATTTGTGTGATTGCATGGATTGCAAAGCATCTACTTTGCTCCATGCAGAGCCACGGCACAGTGAAGCAAGAACCACATTTCACTGATCACACGAAGACAGCTCTTTGGGTGTAGAGCCTGGTTTATACTCGCTGCATCAGCACGAGCGCAAAGGTGCACGCAGCAAAAATGACTTGAATACTGAAGAAACGATCGCGGAGGATTTGGTTTTCAAGCGAAAGTAAAGTAAAAGACCGCTTCTAAGCCAGAGATTTTTTATTGGTTTTATTGGGGAAAAACATGCAAGCACTGTCATCGACAGCCAGTTTAGTTTTACTTTTGGTTTTCATTTTGAAAAGCCTGTTATCTTGGCTGTTTACCTCATGTTATGCTATGGAGGCTCTCTTTTTATTTATTTGATTTCTCGGTGTTTGCTAAACATTCTGTAATTTATCAGTTGATACATAATACAGAATGTGGTGTATGCCATGCCTTATCTTATTCATTTTTGTTAATAAACGTTATGTAAGCTAGTTTGCCATTGTAGCTTACGGTTTTATTATTGTGCTTTTTAATTAAGAATAACAATGAATCCATCTTTCAAGCATTTGTATTAAGCAAAGGGTGTATACATGTAAGCATTGTAAAATGTGAAACCAAGATCGTGAATTCGTGAAAATAATATATATATATTTATATTATTTTTCATTTAATGCAGTATTTCATGTTAAAATAAGAGTCAATGCCTTTAAAATCCAATTTTTGAAGCCTGATTAGTGCCATCTGGTGGGAGTAAAATAAGAAAAACATCTGCAATTCCATGGTTTAGCCCATAGATTCCTATATAGCTCTATATAAAAGGCCTATAAATTCTCTAATTGTTTTTAGACATAAATACTTATTTTTATTAAGTTGTGGGTTTAGATATATATTTAGACATTCTCAAAGACAACTTTTTGTAAAGGTTTAGATTTTTTTTGAAATGTTGATTTGAAGCGTCAGTTTTTTAACTATTATTACTACGGTCAAACCTGAACACAGAGAAAGCATTTTGTTACACAAAACATTAAAATTCTATAAAAATTTAACAAAAATGAAGAGGAATGTTTTATCAGACCTTAATTCTTCTGGGTCTGATCTGATTTCAGCTTTCTGACTCGTTTTGGCTATATGGGTATAGCCATATCAATTCATTTGAATGTGTATAATCGTGTATGTGTGTGTGTGTGCATGTGTGTGTGAGTGGATGTGTCTGTTTTTCACTCTTGATGTTTTAAAGTGTAACCCCTTCCTTGCTGTCCACTTTTTTACTGCATTATAGTTGAATTATTGCTTTTATTTTACATATTTGCTGTGTTACAGTCACACCAGTTCATATGTGTGTGTGTATAAGTGTATGTGTACGCGTGTATGTGAGTGGATGTGTCGGTTTTGCACTCTTGATGTTTTAGAGTTTCACCCTGTCATTGCTGTGTACTTTTTTTCTGCAGATTTGTAGATTATACAGACAAAAATTATCAGAATTTTTGTGTTTTTGTCGATTTCCAATTCATTTGGAATACTTCCACTCTACCGCCACTCTTCCACTCTTCCGCCTACTTCCACTCACTACTACGAATCTACATCCCCTTCAGAAGTCTGAGATCCGCTAGTGAGCGACGCCTCGTGGTACCATCACAGAGAGGCTCAAAATCACTTTCCAGAACATTCTCGTTCACCACTCCTGGCTGGTGGAACGATCTTCCCACCCCTATCCGGAATGCTGAATCCCTGACAATTTTCAAGCGACAGCTGAAAACCCATCTCTTTCGAAGCTACTTGACTTCATCATAAAAAAATAAAAATAAAAAAAAATTATCTCTCTTTATTTATTCCTTCTCTTTCTAGCTTGTACTTATTTGAACAATGTCTAAGAACTTAGTATTACAACCACTTCCTGTGTCTGTTTGCCTCTTTAAGAAGAATCGCTTTATGTATCCCCCAATTGTAAGTCGCTTTGGATAAAAGCGTCTGCTAAATGACTAAATGTAAATGTAAATTTCCAATGGTCGGTCATTTTTGACCGAAGACCACAAGTGTGACTATTTTTTTTATGACCACTTAGCCTGCTCGAATTATGCCCTCAATTTTTTTTTGTGTTCACATTCCAAATGCCATAAAAGTCACCAAGTTTCGTACCATTCCGATGAAGCTATGATTTTTCAAAATTCAAAACAGAAAATGTTTCGGTCAAAAGTGCCCAAAGAGCTCCAAATTGAAATGCTTTCAAATGTCATTAAACTTTTAATTCATATGATCATGGATTTTTTTTAAAAAATCTTCAAATGATTTTGACAGATGGTTTACGATGATTTAAAGCTTCATTAATAAATCGTTAACAAACATTATATAATGCTTAACGGAACATTAGTTAATGTTTACAAATATCATTAAACTTTCAATGCGTTTTAAAAATCTACAAATTATTTTTACAGAAATTATACAATATTTACAAGCTTATTTGTTAATGTACTTTTGAATGCTTACAAATGTCATTAAACTTCAGTTCACATTAGCTAATGCTCATTTTTACATTTACAAATGTGAAAATATAGCTTATGATTTTCTCAGTATTTAGATTTTTTTTTGCACCCTCAGATTCCAGATTTTCAAATAGTTGTATCTCGGCCAAAATTTTTTTTTTGACAAATTTCAAAAAATGGACCCTTATGACTGGTTTTGTGTTCCAGGGTCACATATTTGGTCTTTGTTTGTTGTGTTGACTGCTTAACAAATTATTAATAAGTGATTTAAGATGTGTAGATAGTAGATATTTGCACATCTTAAATCACTTATTAATAATTTGTTAATGTTTTTGCAGTACCCAATCTAAAGTTGAGACTATTCATCATTTGTAAATGTTTATAAACATGTACTAATTTTTTAATGTTTATTGGCACTGGACTTTTAGCTACTTTAACAATGTTTGTGTAAAGGGTGGTTAGTTAAGTTTAGCTAAATGCTTGGTAAAGACATATCACACATTGTAATTTGGGTGCAAAATGCTTTTATCACCTCAACACTTATATTAGTATACTATTGTGTATCATTAAAAAGAATATTCCTTGAGTCATACATCAACAGGAGGGGGGGAGGGGTGGGGACACATTTTCAAGAAAATACTTCATTTATTACAACTATGCAATACAAACAGATTGAATTGTGTTCCCTTATAGTAATCAAATTGACCCCTGTACACTTGTTGACCCCTTACGCAACCCATACCACCAAACCTGTCCCTAACCCTACCCCGTATCACATCTCAACAGTAGCAAAGGTGTTGTGCTTTAACAAAAGCTTTTAATCATTGTATAACATCTGTTAAAATCATTTGTAGATTTTCAAGATGTGCATGATCATATGAATTAGAAGTTTAATGATATTTGTAAGCATTTTAATTTACATGAAATGTTAATTATTAGGTAATGTTTAATACATTTATTAGTAAACATTAACAAGCACATTATTTCACATTTCTAGATATGTGAATATATATGAACTAATGATCCGTTAAGCATTACATAATGTTTGTTAATGATTTATTAATGAAAGTTATTATAAAGTGTTACCCAATTCGCATTATACTCAGCAAGTCAAGTTGTTTATTCAAGAACTGACTTTTTTATTTGTAATTTAGACAGGCACAAACTTATAGACTGCAAGAGAGGAGTCAGATATATTTTTGATCATTCATCTGTCTACTTACCTATGCACTTGTATAATAAAAAGTAGGATACGTCCAAAATAGTAATTTGGGATTATATATGGATAATAAAAACAACAGGGAAGTATCACAGAGTGTCCTTTGGGATACTGGAAAATCAGTGATGAAGAATTATATGATCAAGAATTAGAGGAAAAAGCTACATTTTTTAGTCAGATATATTATGAAAATGACTCAAAGGCTCTGAAGCTACTGACTTAGAGGTTAAGGAAACAACAGGCAGAGAGAACTATTTACGAAATTAGGAATCCCCAAACAAAAAAGTCTGCCATAAGCAAGAGGATATAATGAAAATTACTATAGAAATCTATACAAGGAACCGAATACAGCCAGCTCATATGGAATAGATACATTTTTAGAATCACTGCATTTACCCTCCATAAGTGCTAGAGAAAGAAGTAGGGAAAGCAATTTCTACATTAAAGGTTAATAAAGCACCGGGAACAGACTCGTATAAGGCATCCCGCCTGTGGTACATTCCGGTTTAGAGGCACTGCTCAGCGCACGTTAAGAGTTGATCAAAAAATAATTACATTAATTAATAGATTCTAAGCTTTTAAATTATACCTGTTTAGTGTTATTCCATTCAGGGGTTGCTTAGTAATTTGATTATGAATTTTTTCGTGCGGGAGGTGTCCCGTCAGCTTAAAGGGTTAATCTATCTATCTATCTTCATAGCAACACTCTAGCAACTATCCAAACCAACCTAGCAACCACCCCGGGTACCCTAGAAACCGCATAGCAACACCTTAGCAACTACCCCGGTTACCCTAGCAACCGCATAGCAACACCCTAGCAACTGCTCTGGGTACCCTAGAAACTGCATAGCAACACCTTAGCAACCGCCCCGGGTACCCTAGTAATCGTATAGCAACCACCCCGGGTACCCAAGCAACTGCATAGCAATGCCCTAGCAACCACCCTGGGTACCCTAGCAACCGCACGGCAACACCCTAGCAACCGTCCCGGGTACCCTAG